CAGGGCCCGCCGGGCCTGTTTCACCCGCCCGGCGGCAGCGGGGACACACAGAGACACGGGTACCGGCCGTCTGGGTCTCTGCCATCCCGGGGCTGGACGGGGCCGGTTAGGCGGTGACTGGGGCCGGCTGCCAGGGCCGGGAAGCGGGAGGCTGCGGTGCCCCAGCCTCCTCCCCGTCACGGGAAGTACATTCCCGTCTGGGCCGGGCAGTGGGAGCAGGGAGCCCTCCTGCTTCGACCTCCCTGTTTTTAAAAGCAGATACAACGAAGTTAAAAGGTTCGGTGGATAGCCTGAGTTAAAGGAAAATGGTTAACGGAAGGGTAGACCAGTAAAAACCCGTCTGAGTCTCCTTCCCCTTCACTTCAGGCAGGTGAAGGCTCAGGGAAAGCTCAGTAACAGAGGAGCCCCCCGGCCTCGCCATGGCCATACCTATTGCAGTTCTTGACTGCGACCTCTTGCTCTATGGCCGTGGACACAGGACTTTGGATCGCTTCAAGCTGGAGGATGTCACGGATGAGTATCTAGTATCCACATACGGCTTTCCCCGACGGTTCATTTACTACCTGGTGGAGCTCCTGGGAGCCAGCCTCTCTCGCCCTACGCAGCGGTCCAGGGCCATCAGTCCGGAGACGCAGATACTCGCCGCGCTAGGTTTCTATACCTCCGGCTCTTTCCAGACTCGTATGGGGGATGCTATTGGCATTAGTCAAGCCTCCATGAGCCGCTGCGTGGCCAACGTAACCGAGGCATTGGTGGAAAGAGCCTCACAGTTTATTCACTTTCCTGAGGATGAAGCTACGGTACAGAGCCTGAAGGATGACTTTTATGGGCTGGCAGGCATGCCAGGAGTGTTGGGGGTGGTTGACTGCACCCACGTGGCAATCAAAGCACCCAATGCTGAGGACCTGTCCTACGTGAACCGAAAGGGTCTCCACTCCCTGAACTGCCTGATGGTTTGTGATGCCAGAGGAGTCCTCCTGAGCGCAGAAACGCACTGGCCAGGCAGCCTGCCCGACTGTGTGGTGTTGCAGCGGGCAGCCCTTACAAGTCATTTTGAAACTGAGCTACATAAAGATGGCTGGCTCCTTGGTAAGTCAATTTTTCATCATTGTTTTCTGTGGAAAGTCTATTGTATGTTGGCTCCTTATTGGGTCTAGAGCCTCCAGCCACAAGTGATACGTTTACTTTTGATCACTTTCCTGCAAATTCCTTGAGATTTGTGATTCAGTTTGGACAATCCTTCTCTTAGAAATCTAGAACAGTAATTTCCAGTCTCTGTTTTATACACTCTGATTATTGTGCGTATTATTTTACATTTGTTCTGTTAAGAGCTTGTTTTCAGTATCCTACACCCTTTTAAGCTGAATTATGCAATTTTTAATTCTATGTAGGGTCCTAGTCCAGCTGTCTTTCACTGTATTATGTAGTAAATGAATTCTCTTAAAACTCTTCTGTGTTCTTCCAGGATTTCCTGTGTAAAATTGAATGCCTTTATTTTGGTGTTTGCCACATTTGTAAACCTGAGTGTTGCTCTTTCATGCTTTCTCATACCTTCTGTTTTAGCCAGAGAAATGTTTTTCTGTATCTGTGCTACCAGAAAACCAAGGGCCAAGAGCTGAAATCTGTGGTTAACTGTATGTAACCTGTCCTCCTCCTTTTCACTGCTAACAGGTGACAGCTCCTTCTTTCTCCGAACGTGGTTGATGACCCCTCTGCATATCCCTGAGACGCCTGCTGAATACCGTTACAACATGGCGCATTCTGCCACTCACAATGTCATTGAGCGGACGTTCAGGACCATTCGGTCGCGTTTCCGCTGCCTGGATGGGTCCAAAGGCACCCTGCAGTATTCTCCAGAGAAATCCAGCCACATCATTCTGGCCTGCTGTGTACTACATAACATCTCCCTGGAACATGGGCTGGATGTGTGGTCTTCACCAGCCACAGGGCACATGGAACAACCAGAAGAAGAGTACGAGCAAATGGAATCAATGGACTCGGAAGCCTGTCGTATTCGTCAGGAACTTTTACTTACTCATTTTAGCTAATGATGTGGAAGCCTGTCGTATTCGTCAGGAACTTTTACTTACTCATTTTAGCTAATGTTGTGGCAGAGAGAAGGCTTTTAACAGTTCATCTGCAGAGATACACAGAGCAAATATGTCCTTTCCTCTTCTTTAAGTCTGTAAAGACTAAGCAGATGTGAGACAAGGAGAGATTTTACTCTCTTCATTTCAGGTGGTATTCTGAGCTTCTCTCAGTCCCTCCAGAGATGCAGTTTAATTGCTTAACTTTTACTGTAGAGACTCCCCTTTCACCTGGCTTAGAAAACGGTGACTAATGTGAGATCAGTTGAGAAACTTGGGAAATTGTCTTTGATAATGATGAAAAATCTGTAAGCCTTGCACTGTTTTACAAAGCAACAATTCCATGACACTTTGTAACCCAAACCAATTATGATTAATCTTTAAACACAGACTAAACTTCCATCTGGGCTCCTGTCTGCCATGAATTCATGAGCAGCAAAGCAAACATTTATCTTTTTGTTTGCAGGTATAGATCCTTGCTAAATTACATTTTGCAGTTTTGCAGATCTCACGAACTCCAGCGAGTCCTCTCAAAGCTGACAGCTGTGCCCTGGCAGGGGTCTGGCTTCTTGCTGGGTACACACTAGTGCTTGCTTGTAGGTCCAGAAGGGTTGAAAGTTTCTTTTTTCCCAAACAGACTGGAGAAGATGTTAAGCTATGGTTGACTCTATTGGTTACTTAACAGATACCAGGAGATATTAGGGCTAGTAAATCTCAGTCTAGGTCTTGCTAAATATGGCTGCCACAACAGAAAATTACTCATCTTGTTGGCTGCTGTAAAAGAGATGCCAAAGACTGGCCAGGTCACAAAAATTGAACTGATGATTGCAAAAGTTCTCCATTTAGATCAGAGCTGATGTATGGAAAGGCTACTCTGCCACTGCTGGCAATCTACCTATTCAGTGGAAAAAGACGATTAATATACGCAGTTGTTGCTGGCACAAGACTGGGAAGTTTCCTGGCAATGTTCTCTTTCCAAAAGATGCAATTGTTTCCAAGGATCTCTTGACAGCAGTCTGAGAAAATATTTTCTTAGATTTTATTGTTTAGTGGGCAGTAATTGAAACAAAAGTGGTAGGGAATGGAGAATGCTGCAAAAACGTAGCTACTTAAAGCAATCATCTGGCATGGTAAGTCTGTCCTTTAGAGGAAATGAACCTGGATCATGCCCTACGTTTGAAGAACAAGGAAGTATGGAACACATTCCTAACTATAGGACAGAGATGCAGGATTAGATATAGTTCTGTCAGGTTTGCAATGGCAGTAAGCATTTACTATCCTACAGAAAACCAAGTGTGCTTTATGATGTATACGCAAGGTGTTTTCATAATAAGCTTTGACAAGAACTGTAAAATCATGTACAACAATCTGAGATGTAATTCTGTTTTCTTTACACATCTTCTCATGAGGTATCATGTAAGAACTACTGTTACTCTGGCAAAAAAACCCACTCTTTTTACCTAGCAAGAAGCATACAAGCACTGTTTTCTTAAAAAAAACAATTTTAAGGTAGGAGTTGCTGCCTTATATGGTGCCTGATGGCTCATAATATATCTGACAGACTATGCTAAAAATACTGATCTTTAGACCTAAACACCATCAGACGCTGAATAAATTGCGTGGGTGACACTAAGGTCAAGTGAGACTTGGACACATGTAGGTACAAATGCTGTCACGTAATAATGAGCCCGAGTTTCTCAACTTATGCTATGAATAGCTCTTCTCGGCGTGTGACCAGACCAGAGTGAACTCAAACTGGAGGCACTTTCCAGAACGCATTTGCTGCTGGGTTTTGTCTTCCGTCAGGTCACTGTCACCTTTGGTAGAATTTAATTTCAAATCTGATCTCACTCCTTATCAGTTTGGGCAAAAACTGCATCAGGCCACACCAGACAAAACCATCCCACTCCAAACTACTATTCTTCCTTGAGTCAGATGTCAGTACCCTCCAGTTCACTTGGGAAATGGAACTTTCTCAACTAGAGAGTACTTTCCCTCATGTACTCCTAAGCAGTTTCCTTCAAAGCAAGTAATCTAGACTTTTTTTCCCTTGCGTTTAGACAGTATTTGACAGCTGGGATTCATGTTTCTTTCCTGCTTTCTGTCTCCTCTGTACTTTCACCTCATCCTCCCAGCTGCATTCCAGAGATTTACAAGTTTGTGTGTTAGAGCTTTGCAAAGTCAAGTCTACCCTGACCGTATAATGTCTGATAAACCCCAGTCACCTGTTGGAGGGTGACAGTGACTGACTGTCCAAGGTATTGTGGTTTTCACTACTTGACTAAATTCCTTGTAAAATCCCACCACCGGCCCTTTTGAGTTTTCCCTTAAAATGCCTCTCCGAAGACTGGCTGGCTGTGCTGCTGGCTGACTTTGCTCCTTCAGTCCTGTGCATTACAGCAAACCTTAGTCTCTAAACTTCACCAGTCTGGGCCTTCTGATGCTTTTTTTCTTTGCAGATTTACTGGTGCAAAGCACCCTGGCTTGCTTAGATTTTCTTCTCAACATTCAAGTCCCCCCTCGCTGAGTTCTCACTTCTCCAGTACAGATGAGGCAGCACTCATATCTCATCTGATAGACTTATCCTCTTCTCTCTAAATGTGTTTCACTCTGATACCGTCTGTCTTTTCCTGCCTGTTTTTAATTATATTTTTTTCCACACTGTATCAGTCTTGAAGGGGAGGGGGAGGGGAAGAGACAGGAGACGTGGAGAACGTGCTGTACGGTGAGATTTCAGAAGAAGTCAGTCCACGCGAAAGAGGGAGTGAGGTGCTGCCTGCCCGAGCCGCCTCCCCATCCCGGGGCGGCCGCGACCACCCGCGGTGGAGGCCCGGCCCAGCCCCGAAGGTTTCGCGGGGGCAGGCCGGGGCCCGGCCGGCACACCGGAATTCCTCGCTTGACCGGCTGCCTGACACAGCGCGGTTCCCGGCCC